ATAAATGAAATTATATTAGTAAAAAGATTTGTTTCTATAAGGATCAGGTCAAGATAAGAACAACGTTGCTATTGGAAAAATTACTCCTGATTATGATACAAGGTAGATTATTTTGAATGAATATTTACTTTAGTTTATCATGTTTTTAAAATGTTTTATCATGATTCTTTTTACCTTGTGATTACCTTGTGATTACCTTTTAATTTTAAACTTTGATATTATCAATAAAACAATTTACCCCTTAAAATCTAGATATATCTCCTCAAAAGGTGAATAGGACAATATGATTTTCAAGCTTTTAATTTCAATTCGACTAGATGATTGATATCTCTCTTACTTTAAGGTATTCTCTGTTTATTTAAAAAAATGAAAAATGAAAGCTAGGATATGTAAGTCAAGAATGTAAGATTAATTGGTTTTGAATTGAAAAAAGTTAATTTTAATTTTAGGAGTTATGTATGTATATATATATATATATATATATATGTGTGTGTGTGTGTGTGTGTGGGTGTGTGTGTTTTAAATTATTTTATATAGCTACATAAAACATAACTTAATTTTTTTTATTATTATTAATTATTTAAATCTCATATTTCTTCAAAACAATATTTGTACTTTTTACTACATAGTTCTTATCGTTTTTTCTAATATTATCAATATTTGAAGTCTTTTATGAGAAGAAGTCAACTGTAATCTATTCCATATTTAAATAAAATGGTTTTTATTAAATGTAGAGCCACTTCCAAATATTAAAGGAAAAACTCTTGATTTATGAATTTCTCAAATAGTTGCTAATTAGTCCATAAAAGAAGATCAATTTATTCTTACTAGGTTTGAAAATAGTCTCTATCTTTAATTAACATAGTTTTATATTAATAGTTGAATAAAGCTACTAGTTTTTTAGAGAATTGTTAATGCTATGTCTCCAATTGATATTATTACACCCTATATGACCTTATTATAGACAACTAACTAATAACATGTCTTTTTCTTTTGCACGTTTTATCTTTTAATTGCTTTGAAAAAATAAATAGTGGTTGAGAGGGAGACAATGAAAATTTTATGAAAAAAATAGATTGCAATTTTTTTTGGTTTTTTGGTTTTTTTATTTTTTTAACAAAATATTTGACTCAAAAACTATTTGATTCAAAATTTTGTTTGTTTTTTTGTTTATTTGTTTTGGTTGCCAAAAACACAAAAATACTATATATATATATATATATATATTTTCTATTTTGGTTCAATATTGTGATTAAATATTGAGTTGCTAAATGCACCCTAAGAATAGAAGCATGCTATTTAGTCAATAAAAGTTGTGTGGAGTTCATGTGGGGTGTAACAATATCAATTGGAAATAAAGCATTAACAATTTTCTATATCTTCTATGCAATATTATTTATTTTACAATATTGTTGTGAAACATCAACTATTTCAAAAATCTAACAACTTTATAGAATAATTTATATACATCTACTATTACATAAAAGAAAATTTGTAAAAACAACTTGTTCAATATGTTTATTTTAAATTAACTTAACACAATCCACTGATTATTGTATGCATATTATTCTATAAAAGGTAATTTTTGTTACAATGCTTATTTACGTGTTCAGCTTTATGTTATTCTATAAATACGATCATATCAATTTTAATGATGAGATCAATGAAGTAATCAAATTTTTATTTTTCAATCAATTTAAAAAAATACATCAGTCATCAAAAATGTTTGTTATATGAATTAAAGTTTAACTTGGGACAATTTATTGCTGTGATTTCAGAAGATTTTTATACATAACACACATGTATTGAAAAAAATAACTAAAAAAGCTTATTCTTCTATAATTTATTTTTATTATAATATTATAATAAATGTAAAATATAAAAAACCAATTGTGGAATTGGTTGTGTTTCTTTCATTCCTTTATTTAAGTATAAAATAATTAGAATACTATTACAAAGCCACAATTATGCCATGACATACAATTCTGTAATAAGTGAAGAGACTATTGTTCTTCAATAAAAAGAAATCACTTAACTTTCTACTTTTGTAGCCAAATAAAATATAAATTTTTTCTTTACATACTGAAGCAACATGACTCCTGATTCACCTAAATTATTTATATAGATTATATCTAATATTACAATATATATATAGAGAGAGATACGATTTATTTTTAGGATAAATTTTGTAAGTGTATACCCTTATATTAGTTATTTAATTCTAGATATATTAATTCTAATTGATTATATATATATATACCATCTTTTTTTGTCCTGCAAGAATTATAAAACTTGAATCTTGGTATAAGCCTTAAGTGGTTAAAAATAAAAATTTATGTGAATAATAATATTAATGATATTTTTACTAAAATTATAATATCATTATTGAATTTATTTTATCTTTTAACTAATAATAATCCATTTTTTAATAATAAAACTAATAACACACAACAAAGAAAAATAAAATAAACTTTCTACCATTTGCAATAATTCTTATTTTAATGAAATTTGAAATAGATTTGATAATAGGAAGATTTTGTCACTGTTTGTGGTGGGTGAAGTGCCATACACATGTTCTTTTCTTATTCATTCTCCATTGAAATACACATCATTTTGTTAATGCTCTTTTGCATCATCTGAATTACCTCTTATCAATTTTGTTGAAAAAAGTTGACTGAACTTCTACCCACTACAACTTTACATCGTATACTTTACATACCACTAACAAGAATGTTTCTGTTAAACTCCAGCTGTGGAATCCAAACAAGAATTTGCGTAGTTTCTTCAAACTTCAAAAAGTTAGGTAGTGAAATCACGGAAAGAAGTTTGTTGCATGAAGTGTGCAGTTCAAACACGCCATGACAGTCACAAAGCTGGAAAACACTTGCCAGCAGTTTAACAGCTGCTCGCAGGAATCAAACTAGACTATCCTTTGTTAACCAGACAAGTACCTTTGCACTGATAATGATCTTGCTGCGAGTTTTTGATCCCTGGCGTGGCAAATGGCGATTGAGAAATAGACCGACCTTCCAGTGTAAGTGATGAGTTTTGAACACCAAACACAGATTAATCAGCAAGTGGTGGAGCAGACAATGATACGAAGGGCAGTCTGCCATAGCCATTGTGCTTAAAACGGGGTGAATTCGAAGGCGGTTGAAATTCTTTGATGCTTGATTACAGCGAACACTTCATGTGTCTATCACTCCACCTACATCGGCTGTTAGTGTTCAGAACCTTAGCACTTGACATGTTTCCAGGATTCAAGATGTGAGCCTGAGTTGTTATCCTCTTTCAGGCAAGTGTCATGGCCTTGTCACAAAAACCACCTCTGCAAATAAAACCTCCACAGATGTGTACTCGTTTGTCCCTCCCGGAGATTTGTTAGCCACGATGCCCGGTTCTGCAAATGCTCTGTACTGGGGGGACCTCAAATTGCACTGCACTTGTATAATTTCTGTGCAAATCTAATCTGTCATCTGGAGATAGATGAAAACACACTCCTGCACTTGGTCGTCGTGGAGACCTAGAGTTTCTAATGTTTTTCAACCCCTGCACAAAGTTACTACAATGTTACGGTAATAAGTTCAGGGGCCGGATAAGTTAAGCAACAACATTATGCAACTTGTCCTGAATGCTTGTCTAGACAGTTGTGGGTACAGCCCTGCTGCAGCCGGGTAGCCAGGATGAAAACAGCATCATGGTCACCACAAAAGTGTCTGGTTTCTCTCCTGCCTTCACATGGAATATCCTTCACTATCTGAACCTGTCGCAAATCTAACCTTACAACTGTACCACCTCTCATCAGTCATGTATCTCAAAAACTGGGCTCCACGTCGCGGTTTTGACACTTTTAATAGAAACATGTTTCAAGAAAATACCCCATTGATGTGCACAGTTCCCTTGAATAGAAGACTTCAGGATTACTTGTGTTTCTTAGGGATGACAATCGAAAGCCAATGTAAGCATTGGGAGGAACAAGGTTCAGCCACGACATATTTAAGTATCATTTAATTAGGTGTGGCCTCTTGGCCGAGTCACTCTCTCGCTCAAGTTGCAGCCATCCTACGTTCTGCGTGGAGCAGGGGACGAATTCACAAAAAATGTCTCAAGTGGAGAAAAGAATATTATATGCGCAAAAAGAGAACAGAAAAACTGTACAGTCTGAATGGAGTTGTTCGGAGAAAGGATTCAGAACAGATCACATGGAATTCACCACATCGTCTTTTTAGGCACACACCATCTCAGCACTCATCAGATGTTCACCTTGTTATTCTCCCAGATTGGGTAATGGAACCATCATTATGCAATACGAGGCAAAGTGCAATCAGACCCTGGTCGATTAAGCAATCAATGCAAATTCGTCTGTGCCTGAGAGTATGGTGGTTACAGTTCAATGGAAGCAGAGAAAACTGTAACATGTAGTTCATTAGTATTTCAACCATAGAAGAATAGGTTTCATACATAGGGCAGGTTACATGCAGTTTATCGGACTGAAAATGTGTTGTACAAACGAAGCTCAGCGGTTTTGGATAAATCCTATCCAGTCCTCTCAGAAGTAGAACGGTTTCAATGTCAGGTGACATTGGTGAGGATATAATAGTGTAGATTTTGAACCATAATTATCAATGTGTATACTGAAACCAGTTACGTCTGCAGACGCTACAGAGGGCATTTCATTAAGCAAGCACTAAACAATCGTTTCACACTGACCGATTCAATTTAAGTTCATCAATTCGACTGATTTCGAGACACTCTGTAATAGAGAATGAAAAAAAAAAAACTAATAGCCAAATCAAACACATTCGTGTCACCAAATGTCAGGGTCTTCTGCTGCAAATAATCACAAAGCAAAAGCTTTTGATGACATACCGAAATCAATGGTCCGCCACTAAACGTTTATGGAGAACACATGTCAAACTGTGGACATAAGACTGATCCATACGTACAAACGAGTCAACCAGATACTCAAACTTTCGGACCGAAAATTTTGTGATCACAACTGAGAAGACAAGTGCTGCCCTGTTTCCATGAACAAGCAATGATTTAACGCAACGGATGTCCATTTTGAATCAAATAGACACACCTCCACGAAGGTTTCAAAGTATCAAAAAAAGATACTTTCCCGCGAAGCATACCATAAAATATACGCACTAGATCTGAATGAACACATCTGACCGCCTCTCTCCTCTCTCAAATAAACAATGCAATGCGCTGCAGCGAGCCGATGACTATACCTATCATGACCTTAGCAAGATAAGTCATGCCCAAAATGGCAGGATGAACTACAATAACTGTGAAAAGATCACAGTTGATCTGCCCTAACGTCCAATTAAATCGGGTTTGAAAAAGTGTATGCAGTATACGGAAGTAGCCTTCAAAGAATCAGACCGTCCGAATGTGTCGAACGAATACGAGGACAAAATGGAAGGACAATATTTAGGATCATTAGAAGGATTATCGATACATTGAATCAAGGAATGTTAGGGATCTACACATGGGACATCATTTGCGGCACTCCAGTTCCAGATGAGAGAAACGACAAAAAGCCACCAGCCGACTCTTGCTCGTCGAGGAAAAGGTCGTCAGGAACGCGGTAAGCACCGTGAGCAAAACAGATGGCCCCTCCAATTAGAAGCGCAGAGATCAAAATAGATCCGACACTCGTCATGAAGATCATGATAATGGTGAAGACGCTCATGCCGAGCAGAACCTCCCTTTCACTGAACGTCCGGCCGTTGATGACAAGAGGCTCTGAGCGAATGAGGTAGAGATAGACCCATCCAGCCAAGAGAGCTAAAAGGAAGAACAAAGCTCCAGGGTTGAAGATCAAGCTCAGCGCAACGACTCCGGTCAGAATAATCGAGTAGTTAATGCGGAAGTAGAACCAATTCTTCCTCGCCCTCGTGATCGCCTCGCTGAACGACTCCGGCTTCGCCAGCTGCGAACGGTCGGCCACCTCCGCCCAAGGCCGCTTCTGGGCTAGGGCGAGGTTAACCGCATCCTGCGCTCTCCCTGCAAACGCCCAAAACGTCGCCTGGGACGGCGTCACACCCACAGTTGCTCCTCCTTGCTGACTAACAGGTATAACGGGAGGCTGGCTCGCAGGGGCCATGTCCGCTCCAAATCCTCAAACCCTAGATCAATCCGCACAACCCCAATATTAAACCCACGACCAAAAACCTATATCCCGCAAGGAAAACCTCTCTAAAACGCTTCCGATTCCAACCCACAACACCAACACCTACGCGAAAACCTCCATTGCAACACGAAATCGCCAAAACACAACCCCTACACGTAAATCAGCAACCTCGGCACCCACCAGATCGCCCTCGAAATTGCACCAAAACGCGTCAGACAAAGCTCCTTCACGACGCACGAGCGCAACGCGGATCTGAGCCGAGAACGGTCACGCCCCGCGAGGAAAAATCATGTGTGATTGGCGGAGTTCAAGTGGGCAACAACGTGACCTCGATGATTAGGCCTCCCTCGCTCTCCACAGGAGGAGGAGGAGCTCCAGAGCCCAGTCAGTTCCCCCTCGACGATTCATTGAGGGAAACTTCCTCGGCCTTGCTTTGGGAACCTTCCTTGCGAGCGCAATGGTTTGCGTTCCCGCCCACCCCCTTGCATTGCGAACTTTGGGAACGCGTGAATGATTTGAGTGGTGGTTTGTTGATGGAGTTGGTGTTGTCAAATTGTTTATTTATTTATTTATTTATTTATTTATTTGTGTATTATTATAATGAGGATGAGATTAATCCTTAGTTATGAAATGGTTTCATAATCTTTACTTCAATTGTTCTAGCGTGTCTTGTGGATTTCTTACCCTTCCTTCTAGTTATTTTTAAATTGTATGATGTGAGCTTTTCTACATTTTAAAATGTAGAAGAAAACCATGTGGACAATCATGTGTCATTGATCAAGGCAGATTAATCTCTGAACATGTATATTTTGATTGATGTTGTTTATTTATCTTCAGTATGAAATGAACATTTTAATCATTATCAGTGATATTAATTTGATTATAATTACAGATTGGTCGTAGAACATTAAAAACACTACTTCAAATTATTGCATAATTTTATTTTTGCATTCAAGTTATATATATATATATATATATATATATATATTATTTTTAAAAATGTATATGTTAATTTATAAATTTAAATCAAAATACTATAGAATTTATCAAATAAAAACTAATTTGCATAGTATATAGCAAGTTTTAAAATTACTTATTAAAGTATAAGATATATTATTAAATATAAATCAATGCTTATTGATATAGATATGTGTTTGTTTGTGTGTGTGTTAGTATTAAAATATGATATACTATTAGACATAATGACAATATTGGTAAAATTAAATAACTATGACAATAAAATAATTGGATTATATTTACTATACATATTTTTGATTACTTTAGCAATACCTTAATTAAAGTAAGATATTAAATTATAATTTGAATCTAAAATTATATCTATTTATGGCATGCCAAATAATCATAACAAAAAAAAATGATGATCTTAATATAGCATAGTTGCAAAGCTTTAAACAATCAACCCTGTCGACTATCTTCAATGTATCAAAATATATTGGCAATGCTATAAAATTATTGCCAATTCTAGGTACAACATAGATGTCTAAGTAAAATTTTCTATTAACCAAGTTAGAAGCAAGTTGCTATTTCTATCATATATTTTGTTTTAGTTGCAAAAAAAACTAATTAATATTTAGCAAGCAAAGAATTATATTGAAGAAAAATGAATAATATTTAGATAAATATTATAAATATTATTAGTATGATCTTTTTCATATATTAAACAAAAAAAGATAAGAAATATAGATGAAATAAAATATTAAAATAAAATAGACTTAATGAAATAATAGAAAAATAATAATACTTAAATTGATTGAAATTATATATTGAAAAAAGTATATGTATGTACGTATGTACATATATATATATATATTTGTATGTACGTATGTGTATCTATATTTATATGATTCAAATAAATATAAATAAACTTTACAATACCAATATAATTAAATACAAATAAGAAAAATAATGTTAGATGATTTGTTTTTTAAAGATGTATGAAAGAAACTAATTAAATGTAAGTTGAACCTACAAGTATTTTTAGATGCATCATATAGCCATACAATGTTTTTTAGAAGTTTATTATAATTATGGATTAAACCTATTAATAACTTATATTCTTGAGTTACAAGCCTTGTAAACTTTAAAACATTTTGATGGATATTTCTTAAGCTAATATATATATATATATATATATATATATATGATCTATTTATTTTTAATTTTTAGATTTTTTAAAATTTTAATATGTATTAAATATTATTTATTAAATTTAATAATATAAAATAATATCAAGTTCCTTACAAATAAATTTTATCTATTGAATAATTTTTTATAAAGCAAAAAATGTTTTATTTAGATATCGGTCACATTAATTGATAATCCTTTATGTATATGCATATGTATATATACATATATTTAAATCTATGTATATAATATCATATAAATTAAATTTTTATATGAATATTAAAGATTCTATTATATAGTACTAATTAATTAATTAATTTGAATTACATTAATTAATATAAAATTATTAATATATTTAACAAAAAATTTAATTTTAACATATCTAGATAAAGTTTTAGGTGAATTTTTGTATGAAATAGATATTAAAGGAGATTATATGAAAAAAATTAAAAAATTAAAACAGTGGTTCTGTTTGATCTAATAAAGATTAAATTGAACCACAGTTTTAATTTTTTAATTAGTATTTTTTAGTCTATCTACTTTGGTATGTATATATTTTTCATATATTTTATCAGATAGAAATATTGTATTTTTTAACTTAAATAATAATTGATATTATTATATATACATATCGGGAGTTGTTAAAGCCACACCCCCTTCACAACTCATGATTCATTTTTGTACAAGTTCCATGTCCCCCACCCCATTCCCATCCCACATCCCCGTTATCATACCCGGACCCCGCCACCCTCTGGGATCGACCCTGCCACCCGGCCCCAACCCCACCCCGTGCCCACTTTCCCCGACCCACTTTAGCCAAAAAATTAATGATATGTGTATGTATGTTTAAATATATATATATATATATATATATATATATATTAAATGGAAGTCAACAATGATTTGTGCAACATAAAGTAGAAATGCTTCTGATTTTGTTAAGGCTAAGATCATATCTGTCTTTATTTATTCAATTAGAATCGTTCATTTTAATTTATTAACTTTAATATGGACAATTAAATTTTTTTGTAACATCGACGTGACTAATTTATTACATTAATTATTTTTTAATAATTTTAAAATTACTATTGAGTTTTGGTGTGTGTATACATAAATATTCTGGAATTTTGAAATAAAAGTCACTAAATGCTTTACTTCAAAAGTCTGTGCATAATGGATATTTTAAAAGTATATGCTGATTCCAAAATTATTCTGATTAAAATCAATGTATTTCATCATTAAAACTGAGCTTTAAAATATTTTTTCGTTAACCTTATATAATTATTTAAGATTTTAAAAAGTAAAATAAAATAATGATAGATATATAAGTTTTTTATTCTAATGAAACATAAGATCATGGATAGCATTTAATATAAAGAAGTGATACAATAATAATAATAATAAAAAAAAACCACCGGTGGATGGTTTGGCCATAATGAAAAATATATTGGTAAGAAATAACCACAATAATCCGATTCTTTATTAGTATTTAACCTTTCATAATGATTTTTTAGAATCTAAAAATAAATGGGTTATATAATCTAGATTATATATTTAACTTATTAACAATATTAATTTAGTGCGTATACGTATTGCTGCTTTGATAAGCAGTTAAAAAATTATAATTTATAAATTAGATATGATTTCTTGAAGACTTGGATTCATATCTAAATTGTAACGTAAAGATGAGAGCAAATCAAATACCCAAATAAAGAAAAAAAAAGTATATTTACATATATAATTAAACATACACACACACACACACACATATATATATATATATATATATATATATGTAATTTTTGGTAGTGCCATGACTAAAGGAAGAGGGGGAAAATAAGGGGGTGACGTGGGGACAAGGGGGGTTGGGTCGGGGAGAGTGGGTAGGGGGTGGGGTTGGGGTTGATGAATATGGTAAGAGACATTGACTTTGTACAAAAATGAATCATGAGTTGGATAGCGGGTGTGGTTTTAACAAGTCCCTATATAAATATACATCCTTTAAATGTGATTAAGTATAAATTTAATCATATTGACTTATATTTTTTTATATTATTATTATTATTTTTTTAAAGAATACCAAATTAATTGGTCATTATGATTGCAATTAGATTTCTAACATTGTTTAAATTTAAAATAGATCTATTCAATGATATTCAGAGTATATATATATATATATATATATATATGTATGTATTTGTTAAAGCCACACCCCCTTTTCTACTAAATGATTGATTTTGTACAAGTTCCTTGCCTTGGACCCCATTCAAATTCCACATCTTCCATTACCATACTTCATTCCCATCTACTATTCTTACCCTGATCCTGCCACCTCCTCTCCACCTACCCTATTATGACCCTACCACCTTGATTCCTCCCTAAACCTGGCCGCATTTTAAAAAATGACACTTCATTTGATAAGATATATAAAAAAAAAAAAAAAAAAAAAAATTCAGTTTGTGCATAGTTTTAATGTATATACTAAAAGCTCAAAAATTGTAAATATATAATAAATCAACAAATAATTAATTTTAGTTTTTATATTTTAATATTTTAGATTTTTTACTACAATTTTATATTAAAAATATTTTATTATTTTTAATAGGCAAGATTTTATTATTCTAATATTTGAATAGTATTTTAAAGATGTAAGACATATTACATAAATAAAATATATAAAACAAATTATTTCTTAAAGACTATATTAAAGAACATAAGTATTTTAATTTTTAATTTTTTTTTATCATATAATTATTTGATTGATAAATTTGATCAATCAAAACATATCTTATTAGATTAATATCAATTAAAGAAAGAAAAGAAAAGAAAATATAAAATGCATAAAAAATAGAAATAAGAGTTATTTAAATTTTGAATTTTAAAATACTTTATATAGATTGAGTGGAGATGGGATAGTAGAGTTGGGATTGCAAGGTTGGGATTGGACAAGTAGTAGTGAGCTAGTAGGGTTGATGTAGAGGGGTTGAGATAAGGCAAGTAGTAATGAGGTAGTGGAGTTGGGGTGGCGGGATTGGGATAAGACAAGTAGTAATAGGATAGCAGAGTTGATAAAGCAAGGTTGGAATAAGGCGAGTATGATTGAGGTAGTGGGATTGAGGTGATCAAGTTGAGGCATGGCAAGTAGTGGTGAAGTAGCGGAATTGGGACAATGGAGTTGAGACAAGACATGCAAGATTGGAGTAGAGGCAAGTAGAGGTGGAGTGA